TAACTAGACAATAATATCTTTCAGATCTAAAGGTAGAAGACAATGACTTCATTAGTCTAGAATCTCAAACACCTCTATCAATCTAGTCTCAAGATAGAAGGCAATAAACAATGTAGTCTTTTGAAGGGTAGTTTTGATAATTTCAACAAATAACTAACGGTCAGTTAATGGTAAAGACCAACTTGACACTTTTTGAAAGTTTAGGTACTACAGTGACACCTTTAAAAATTTGGATACTAACTTGACACTACCCTCAAAGTTCAAGGTACTAAAGTGAAAATTTCCCTATATATTAATTGCTCTTCTTTTCTATCCATTAATTCAACTTCTTATTGTTTCTAAATATAGACATAATATAGGTATGAAATGAAATGAGACTACAAAGGGTATGCTCACATATTTGTGTATATTTTAAAGGGAAAATTCCCGATAGGTACCCTATATTTTAGGCTGAGTGCCAATTTAGTACCTGAAAATTTTAAAACCCAACAATATAGTACCCAAACTTTCATTTTGTGACAATCTAATACCTACCGTTAATGGACCACCATTTATGTATATTACGCGACTTCATATGGGATTTAAGACTTTCAAAAATATCAAAATTACCCTTAGATACTGTTCATCATCTTCTTTCTCWAAAAAACGAAAGAAATGCAAACAGCTGCTTCAAGTTCTAGCAAACCTCCAAACACCGGAAAGCAAGCAATTTCCACTGGCTTCTCTAATCCAACGTGCACCAACCCGCCAAGAACATCCAAGCAAAACCCTAGTTTCAGCGCGTTGATCGGGCATATCGGACTGATTGAAGGTGAAGGATTTTTAGTTCTCCGAACGGGACCCGTTGCAACCTTTTAAAGAAACTTTATCGCCGTCTCTCTCTAATAAATGGAATGATTACATCTGTTCTTTCGATCCAATCAAGACCCAGTTCTTACTTCTTAGTCGGTTTGCTATTTCTGGACTTGTATTTATCGGCGTACCAGGGATCGATCTCCATCCTTCACTGGTGTTGGTTCTTAACTGGGGTTTTCGATCGGAAAGTTTGTAAGCAGTTGTTGAGGCTGGAGGGTCTAACTAGTTCGTCTCTATGGGTCTTGAAGCCTGAGCTTCTACGAAAGCATGCCATAATCTTCTTCGGTTGCTTAACCTGAATCTTCAGCAGACGCAGAGGGTTCTTGATAAATTAGACGAAGTGGGTTTGGAATTGGATGAAATAGGGATTCGGGAACAATGCGAACTCTGAGGTTGGAAATTGGATATCGGAATTTAACCAAAGTTTGTAACTTTGTCTACGATGGAGGTGGAAAAATTGGAAATTGTTGGGATTATTCCATTCCAAAATGTAACAGCTTTGGATTCGACGAGGTGTGATAAGGTAACGGACTTTTGGATCTGCGATTTAATTGCAGGTTCTGGATTACCAATTGGTGCTTGGCTTCATTGGCCACATGGACTTGATCGAGAACCTGAAGGAAATCATGGATTGTGGAGTGTCACTGTTGCAGCAAATGTACTTCCAGAATTGGACTTGGTTCCGGAGTCATTGATGTAGGATCAGGAAGCGTAGTCATTGCCACTATCCGCACTTCTAGAGCTACTGGTTGTGACAGGTTATGAAAATGCAGACAATACAGCCTTTTGTGGTGTTTTAAGTCGGTCAGCTCTCAGATTTACATTTCTCAGCCAATTGATCCAAGACAATTGTTTTGAGTTACTACTGACTTGTTCTTCAGTCACAATGTAGACATGAGAATTGAGAGATGCTTCAAATCCTGTGGGTGGCTAAGATTTCAGGAATCAAGACCCACTGGAATGCAAGAGTAGCAAGAAGTTACTTCAAATCCTGTGGTTTTGAGTAACTTCTTGTTCTTCAGTCACAAGAAGTTATTTTTGAGAAAGAAGCATTGGGTTTAATAGACTTATGAACTCCTATAATATGTCCTCTCTGTTGTTTGGCAGAGAAGGGGACAATGATAAAAGGACAACAGAAGAGATTCAGAGACTCATTTGAAACAAAATCTATAAGGTGACAGACTCACAGCCAAATAGGACCTAGTTCAGAAAACCCACTACAACACTCATGGGTTGCTGAGCAAAATAACTGAAAGAACAAAGAGTGAAACCCTGTATCCAAACCAAAACCAGAAATTATCTTTCTCCTTGAAGAGATAGCATGAGAAAACTGCTCTGAAAATACAAGCTTTTTCAAATCCATAACCGAGGAAAATAATAACCCCCAAAAGAACAGCAATGAGAATACGAGAGTAAAGTGAAACCCCACTAGACTAACAAAGAATAGAGAGAGAGAAAGAGAAGCAGATAGAGTTTTCTTCTGTTTTCAGAAGAGCAGAAGAACAACAACAAAAAGGTAATGGTAAGTGAGAAGAAGCAAGCAGAAGTGCTTGGAAAGGTTTCTCCGTCGAAGAGAAGAGGCAAGACGATGAATAGGCAGCATTGTCAGTCTGGTTTTACCGGACGGTTGATAAAGAAAATTAGATGGCACTTGAAAAGTATTTTTGTCTTTTTGCATGCCACTTAACGGTTGGTTAACGCCGGATACTAAATCGTCGCAGAATGAAAGTTTAGGTACTAGATTGTCGCATTTTAAAGTTTGGGTACAATTGGCACTCAGCCAATTAGGTGTTATTCATCAAAATTCATGGGTGGATTTTGATTGATCAAAACTCTTCCCATACCATATCTTTTCCGCATCATAGATTTTCCCTTTAAAAAAATGTTCACAAAAATTATGAAAAAAAAAATAGAAAAACTATTTCAACAGTCGTATTTCAAATGAGAAATTAATTAAATTTGTCCTTTTTAAAAAAAAAATTGAAGTGCGAGTTGAGAATAAAAAATAGGGTAAAATACAAAAACCTCCCCCCACGTTTTTTATAATCATAAAAACCTCTCCAATAGTTTCACTTTAGTAAAAACCTCCCCTAAATTTTTAAAGAATTCGACAAAAACCTCCCTTCCAGCAGTGACCCAAATGGAAAACGTCAGACCGGTACATCAATTTTGTTCCAAATTCCCATTTTACCCTTTTACAAATTAGTTTGCATACATTTTTACTGAAATACCCCTATCGACCTATTATCCTCTTTACCTCTCCCGTCAACCTCTTTTATCCTCTGTCCTATCCCTGAATTCTTTCGTCTAAAGAGGAGGAAAGCTACAGCTCTTTTAATCTTTCGTCCAAACCCAAACGGAGCACAGCTCTTTCCTTTTCTCCCTGAACTTTCTTTGTTGATTTCTTCCTCCTCTTTTAATCTCCCAAGAATTTGCAATTTTGTGCTCAGTTATGTTTCTCCTGTTTATTGCCCTACTTGACTTAGAAAAAAAATCTATTTATTGAAGCATAAAATTTTAATGTATTTTGGAGGTATGGACCTGTTGAATGATATAGAGTATTTTTCTTATAAAAAATCTTCAAACCAGCGATTGTTTGTGCTAATGGAATGTTGTTTACAGGACAAAATTAATTAACGCACAATTCATTGGCTTGGCCGCCTGGCATTGATAGCTCCAAGGTGATGCAAGATACTTATGGTGAGGAATAGGATGATATTGATCATCCGTATGAGGTTCCTATAGCCAACCATCCTCCATTACCAGTCAAGAAAGCTAATGGGAACGAGGGCTCATTCTCATGAGTTTTTTGTACACGGGTTTCCAAATCATAAAGCACACAGTGTGTTGTATATTTTCAGCCCCATAATTTTTATATACAGGTTTTCAAATCATTCTTTGGTATAAATGCATCACTATAAGTCATTTGTATATAGATTTCACTTCTAGGAAGGAAATTATTTCCAAAATCGGGTCCTTTAAATCAAAAAACATATCATATAGCCCTAATCTACTCTTGCAGGTGAAGCGTTCTCTCTTCCAAAGTTCTGTGATTCCAAGTTTCAACTAAGATAGAKAAAACAGAGCAAGATGAACGATTTGATAACAAAACCCTTCCTCAGCTATGTGGATCTGAAGAAAGAAGTTCTGGAAACTGGCAACGTCGACCTAGAGATGGTAGTGACGATGACGCAAAATCAAATAGACCATAGGAGGCCGAGATGGTGAAAGAGATTAGTTTCACCAGAGACATCCTTGGCCAACTGCAGCAAGCCAACGAAGAAAGCAAATGCCTCCACAAGTCGGAGGCCCTAAAAGCCCTGCACACACAGACCAATGCCGACATCGTGACCGTGCTTAAAAGGTGAGAAGCATAAAGTCTCAACTTGAGGATATGGACTGCGCCAACGCTGCCAATAGGAGGCTCTCTAGATACAGAGAAGGGACGCCGGTGGACCGCACAAGGACTTTGGTCACCATCATGCTGCAAAAGAAGCTAGAGGAGTTGACGGACTTCCAGGAGTTGAGGCAGCGGATGATGGTGGAGTATAAAAAAACGGTGGGTTGTCGATATTTCACAGTAACAAGGGAGTACCTAGAGGAAGAGGTGATAGAGAAGATTATATCAAGTGGGGCAAGAACGGGAGGGGAGGAGCTACTGCAGAGGGCGGTGCAGGAGCACGGGAGGGAGGGGAAGGTTCTTGAGACGGTGTTGGAGATACAAGACAGGCATGGCGCGGTGAAGGAGATTGAGGGCAAATATGGTATATTATAAATTAATTGAATGACGCTTCAGGTTAATTTTGTAAATGTTGACATTTTTCGTTTGGTCATTGACCGAAAGGGAGACTTTTGCCGAATTCTTTAAAAATCCAGGGGAGGTTTTTGCTAAAATGAAACTATAGGGAAGATTTTTATGATTGTCAGAAACTTCAAACGAGGTTTTTATATTTTACCCTAAAAAATAAATAATGTACACTATCCTAACGAATTGAAAAAAACAGTATCGATCCTAACGAATTGTTAAGCGGTGCCTATAAAAAATCCCCAAAAAAAATGAAGAAATTAAGACAAAAAATCTACTGTATTTATTTCAACCAAACGATTGGAAAACAAAAAACCACCACTCACACTAGTTACTAGTATTACTTGTGGGGTACATTACCCGAACCCTTACCCGAACGTTCATTTTCATACCGACATATACAACTCAACCCCACCAAGACCTCCGAGATGGCTGCCTCCGTCTTCTCCCTATCTGAAAAATGCAACGTCTGCAACAACAATATGGTTGGCTTTGCGTCGAAGTTCTGCTTCTCGAAATTCCTCTCGGTTTGCCACTTGACGGTATCATGCGCCATGGGCGCAAGCCACCCCAGAATCTCCTTCAGCGCCTCCCTCCATCCCTCTGCCAGCGATTCATCTATAAACAACTTGGACGAGTTCTTCTCCCTACTCCAAGTGTTCTTCAACTTGGCCTTCACCGACATCTTTAGACTGGCCGGTAACATCTGGTACAGTTGCTCTCGCGTGTCGTTTCCTATGGAACACGGCGAGTCGACATACTTCTCTACCTGAATTATAACGTTTGCATACCGCAACGCCAGACCCGAACCACCCAGCGTCGATGGTGGCGCCACCTGTAGTAACTTATTCCTTTTCCCAACCCCTCCAAACAGATAATAATGGTTCTCCTTGAACCCAATTCCAAAACCCACACTCATACCGATTTGCATGTCTTCCTCCGGGTTCGACTCTCGACTCCAAAACCGGATCAAACCCCGCTTGGGATTGTTAGAGCCTGGTAGAGGCCCCGATTTTGAGCATGCCGATATTTCTTTTACCGATCTGTCGCGAATCGGGTACAGTGGGTAATCAAACTGGTGCGAAGTGGAACGTGAGTGACGGTTTGGAACCTGAGGTAGAACTGAAATGTAGGGCCCAAAAACGGTGCATATGCGGGCGTAGATGATGCAGATGGTTCGAGCCATCAGACCGACGCTCTTGTCGAAGGGCTGACTCCAGAGGGAGACGTCCCTGTAGTGTCGAACCTGTTGCCTCTGCCACGCCAGTTTCTGGTCGAACAAATCGGAGTTCGTTTTCTGTGCTTGTAGCTGACCGGGGTGTCTCTTCCATTGCTTTAATTTCCGTTCCGATACCTCCAACTCAGCTACAGCCTCAAGTGCGGAGTACAAAGCAGAGGTGGAGGAGATGTACTTCTCCATCTTGTCAGTGATCTTCTCTATCTCCCTGGACCCGAAATCCAGTTTCGTTAAATCGATGAGCCCGAGCTTGAGGTCGGAGTATATTTGTTCGAACCCATTCAATCCAGGGTCAAAGCATTTCCTCCCTAACCGAGCGACGACAATGGCAGCGCGATCAAGCTCCTCAATCCTCTCTGCGCAGGCGAGGTTAAGAAGGAAAGCTTCATCTGTGGAATTGAGATAAGCGACGCCTGGGGATCGCATGACCTCCTTGCGGAGCTTGAAGATCTCGTTGTCGGAGAGGGATTTGTAGAGAGAGACAATGCGAGACATGGCCTTGGCAGTCTCGAACGCGAGGATACCGAGAACGGGAGACTTGTCTTGACGGAATCCGAATGGGTGGTTATTGTTCTTCTTGGGATCAGAGGACGCAAAGGAGCGCTTAAGGCCGGTGCCGAAGCGGCTCCCCATCTCGGAGAGCCAGATCATGGTGGCAACCATGGCCGGTGGCTCTCCCTGCGTCTCTGATCCCCGTTGTTGGAAACTGCGACCAGATCGTCGTAGGTGTTGTGTGAGAAAATGTCGGGTATTTGTATGGGAAGGTTTGGAGAATAATGACAACTTCCCACCTTCTTCATGGGACGCGCTTGGACAGTTAGGTCACAGAGGAAGAAACGGAGAGGACAGACAAATCAGTTTCCATTTGGGAAAGAGAGAGAATGGCATCAACGTCATCACCATTCACCGTTCACCATTCACGCCTTCACGGGAACGAATGTCTATGTTTGGGATGACAGTTTAGTTAGTGCCACATCTCGACATTCCGGTTAAATCGGTTAGAGAGAAGAGACTCATCTTGATATGAATCTGAATGTAATATGCTTGACTCGAATGATTATTCTTCGTCCATGAGTTGGAATTTGAATTTGGTCAAGCATTCTTATGATTATCTCCGGAACGCGGTTCTGTTGCTTCCAACCATCAACCAACAAGCTTCCTATTTCCTATTCTTAGGTGCTACTTGTCTCTCTTGCTCCAATGTAATCCCGTTCACGGGTCGAACCGGTTTGCCTCTTTATTAACTAACTAAATGTCCAGGTTCTGGCCTGAGCCCGGCGGTCCTAAACTCCTTATATAAAGCACGAAACCCAATTTATACATAAAAAGTCATATTTATGGTATGATTTAATAAATTAATTCTTATAATTATAAATTTGTATTCGAAAATAATCTAATAAAATTATTAATTTACATTTTTACCACTGGGCCAGGTTACGCTGAACTTATTTGTGAACGTCCGGATCCAAACCCACAAGCCTAAAATTTTCTCCAAGCCCAGTAATAAACAGGCCAGGCCAGGCCAGCCCATCGAATTACCCGGCCACGAACAGGCCATTCATTCAACCAGTTTAACTGGTCACGTGACAACTACTTTTTGACTGGCCGGATTGTTTTGGCCGGCTTTACCATAAGGCATAACATGATTTTTTATATTTTTAAATATGACAGTTTTTATTTACTTATTTATTATTAAATAAATATTGAAGTTTCCCTAAAACTTCAATTGAAGGTGGAGACCTTCACCAGAGGAACGCTTCCTCCCGTTGCTTGTAACCCTAGATAATGTAGGGGGATCCATCACCATCAACCGCTGATTTCTGTCTTTCTGAGATTCTCGCCCAATAAGAAAAATAAAATAAAAAACAAAACAAAGACCAATAAAAGAATTGAACGCGTTATTTGATTATCATATTATATAATTGCCGGTGAAAACACTCTTTTGTTTTGTTTAATTTAAAACATTATAAAAATCATAAACAATACTTAAAGGTCGTTTGGCAAGTTTTTTTGAGAAGATCTGATAGCTCTCATACTCAATAGATGCATTAGATTTTTGTACGAAGATTTGAACAGCCCGAAATCAGTTTGACTACCGTACGTCTTTCCATGTCTTTTCGTGTGAGAATAAAACAAAAAAAAAAACGCAAAAAACTTCATTTGAAACTTTCTGAAGAGTTTTTTGCATTTTTAAGCATACTGACTTTTGGCAACTAGATCTGTTACAAATCAAATGAAAAAGACAATGAATCAACGGCACAGTCTGCCCAGCTTATAAATAACCGAAAGATCATGAAGAAAGATACGTCTAACAAGCACTTAATCTTCAATAATTGCCATTATTTTTAAAATAATGGCATATCCATCAACTGGAATCATTAATCAAGTTCGTTATAGTAATTAATAAAGGCCACATCTCCATTTTATTCAGAAACTACAGTGACCAGTATCGCAATTGAAACTCTAACAAAATGAATAAAAAAACTAAAAAAAAAAAGAAGAGATTAAGACGCTCAAGATAATACAATAACACTCCGATCCCATGCGAATGTGGGACGTTTGTTTTTTTATCTTTGATATCATTTTTAGGTTCTTTTTATCCCCAAAATGGTGGTTAGAATTTGAGCATCCATGGCCTTACGTACTGAGGTCCACTCTTATGTCTTTTATCATCATCATCCCAGTCCAAGAATGGTCCACTACTAGTTCCCCGTTCCCACTCTGACCGTATTAGGGTTTTAGTCTAAAAGCGGTCCACTCATGAAACCTTTTAATATTTTTCTTGTTTCACATTGAAAATAGTTTAGACAGTCAGACTTAATTTCATTGGTAAAGGGACTTCAATCTCTCTCTCTCTCACACTGTAATGCCCAATTGTCCATGGCAACGCTGACCAGCAATGCTACTTCCCGCGTGTCAGGTAAGGATTAAACACAGATAAGGGTCCACTAGTTAGCGTGTAGATGAGATTATCTAGAAGGCCAGAAGCCGAGAAGCACCTGAGTTGCTTCTTGCTTAGAACTATTTGGATGTTGGATCCTACACTACACTCTCTAGGGTACACACTTGACACTCCAAATACAAATACGGTGCATCGTCCCAACGCCTAACACTAACTAAATTCTCGCCATCACATCGTGGGCACCAAATCCGAATCGTATGAACACGAGACACCTGGTAAGTCATCAAGTCATTTAGGTTGGAGGGCAAGCTGGATTTGGGGGTCGGGACTCGTATAATTAGTCTACTCTTATTTAAGAACCAGGAAAAACCAATATCTAATGTAAAAACAAATGATATTACTTAATTACGGCTAATTGATAAAACTACTGAATTATTAATGCTACAAGACTTGAATGAGACTAAAAATTGGAATGCGGGTTTCAATTTTATTGGTTAATCAGGCAATTAACCCATTCGGCCGGCCTATAAAAACCTACGAAAATTGTCATTTAGTTGGGACTCAAAAAGGCTACCAATTCCCAATTTTTATGATCTGACCATCCGATCCAAGCCAATTATAGTCTTACAATATTGGTTAATTACTGCTAACAAAAACGCTGAATTATTGTTAACTATAATTAACAAATTAATTATTGTCATAGTTGGAACCCATGCACGGCATTTATTAATATAATAAATAAGGAAAATATTGAAATGGTCAAACAAAGTTATTTGAAGCTTGAATGAACATGAAGACAAAAAATAAGTCAATATAATTGACAATATTTATGGACTAATACTTATAAATTAATACTTATTAGACATTAAACTACTATTTGAGATTACACTATTTATTGACTAATTTAGTATATTTTCAATATTTACTATATTTTTATAATTATTATATTTTCACTATAAACTTATTTTCAATGATTGTGTACGTTTTTTATACATTTTTAATAATTATTGGAGATTAAACTATTGTTATTTATTAGAGATTAGACTATAAATTTAGTTAAAATTAGTAGTGTCCAATGATTGGTTCAGTTCAGTTGCAAGCTGTTTCGCCAACCAAATCGATCTAGTCAAGTCCGTAGTTTGTCACTCAAAACCGATTGACTTAAAAATTAAATTCGGTTTAGTTTGTTTGTTCAAAATATTTAAATTTAAAAATTAACTTCAAATTTCATAAATTACAATGATATTTTAGACTAAATCTATGATATAAAATATTTTAGACTAAGAAATATGRGAATTTCCTACTTTCCCGTATTAAAAAATTAAATTTAAAATTTAAAATATTAATATATATTTATTAAACCAAAGCCGATCTAAAATACTAAAAAATCGACCAACTCGGATTGAGTTTGATCAGATTGTTTATTAAAAAGTTAAAATATAAAACAATTATATACTCTTATGTATTTCTATTGTTTAACTTTCGCTTAACAAAGCCCGTGCTTCGCATGGGTCCYTGTCACCATGCCTCTCCTTGCTCCATTATCCCCACCCTGCATTCTCTTTGACTTTCTCTCATCTCCGCTTCCCAACACTCCCATTAAGCCATGTCACCCAACCACTTAAAAATATTCCTATAATCTCTTTCCTAAGGTATCTCATTTAAACCAATAGTAAAGTATCATGTTGCCCCACTCACTAATCAWTTCCTACAATGCATCCCCCCAATCTATATCCACTCTCCCTCATTTAAAATATTCATATTAATTAATAAATAGTTAAATACGGTTAATATTTAATCCCACCCATATTCAAGTATTAAATAGTGTTATTACTAAAAATTGATAAATACAGTTAGTAAATTACCAAAAATTAATAAATATTGTTATCAATTAGCTCATTAACAACATTTTATAGAAATTGAAAACTCTTTAACTAATTTCTATAAAATTGAGAATTATATTTAACAATTATCAAAAAGTATAAAATTTTAGTTATTTTTATTATTATAATTAATAACCAAATACAAATGGGGGAATAAAATATTATAATGTTAGAAAATGAAATTATTAATTAATTTATATTGAAAAATAAAAAAACAAATTAGTGTAATTTTGTTAGTAACTACCAAATRAAAATATATATTTAATAACATTTAGAAAAATTACAATAAATCCCCATAGTTACACAAATGTAATAAAATTTTCAAAAATTTTCATAAAATAACAATTTTTAAATTAAAAGATATAAAGTATTTGAAAGCTTATTTAAAATGCATTAAATAAATATTGAAAATTATTAGAATATTTTGGAAATTTTAGGAAAATTTATTACATTTGATAGATTTTGGAAAACCATTGAAAAATTATGTAATTTTCATTGCAAATTATTGAAAATTATTAAAGATAAATGACAATGGGAAATGGAAAATTATAATTTGAATAAATAATTACACAAATTATTAAGATAAATTAGTATAATATTGGAAAAAGGAAATTATTAGTTAGTTTATATTAGAAATTATAAGATAAATTAGTATAGATCTATAAGTAAACCATTTAAAAATAAATTAAATTATTTAATAAAAAATAAATAAATTTTCAAAATTACACAAGTACAATAAATTTTCCAAAATTTTCATAAAATTACATTTTGAATATTAAAGACAATTTAGTGTACTTTTAGAAATTTACCATGTGGTTGATACTCAATATATCCTTTTGATTATTTCTATCATCAAATTGAATATTGGGTTGATGGGG